CCCCCCCCCACCACCACACCTTGACGTTGTACATACCTAACAAGCAGAATGAAGGAGGAAGCACGCCGAAAAACAGCAGACACTGTAATAACACTGAATTTATTCATAGGGCATTATGTTTTTCTTTTTGTTGGATTTGTCTTCTCCTTCTGTTCCGTGTCAGGTTCGCTGTGACGTCACTGCAGGTATTGAGATGACGTGTGCCAACTATTTTGAGGGAGGATAAGAAATTGTAAATAGGAGTCGGGGTCAAGTAGCTACGGCGTCAACTTAGTGTCACAGAGTGCTTTTTGTTTGGAAGGCAAGACGAGAGAAGGGACGATTCAGGACTTTTTCCATGATCCACAGATATTTTTCTACAAATTTAAAGATCCAGATGATTCTATACACTGTTGAATAACATTGTAAAGGTGTAACAGATGCTGTATATCATATCATGTTTTCTGAAGTCGTAAAGCTTTACTGTATGATCTGTTTTGAAGTAGTGCTTATTCTTTTTTTTTTTTTCTTTTTTTTTTTTTTTTAATATTATTGTGATGGAAGCCTGGACAGCAGCACTGGTCACCCTATTCAGGAAAAACTCAAAAAAAAAAAACAAAAACAAAAAAAAAAGAAAAGAAAAAAAGAGACAGAAAGAAACACCTCAAGATGTTTTTGTAATAATATTAATACTTTTAGAATATATCTTATGAAGTGGGTTTTTTGTAAGGAATCACTTTTTTTCCCCCCCTTACGCAGCGGTGCTGTACGCATAGCACACACTCGGTAGTCGTTACACACCTAAATACAGCACAATACACATCTTCTTCACTTTGCTTGTGTGTGTCCTTTTGATTTAGTTCGGTCATTTCCTCGCTCTGTTTCCAAGTTCAACATTTCAATGTAACACACACACACACACAGACGCACACACACACAAAAGAGGAAGCAAAAAGCCAAATAGTGATGTAGTTGTCCACCTTTATTTGCTCCATTCATGTCTCTCTTCATCCCCTCCTGTAGCTTCCTCTACAGTTTAGACTGACAACCAAATGACCCGGGGAGAGATCTTCAGCCCTCCCTTACAACTTTGGAAAGCTTTAAGATGCTTGTTGAGGCTTTATGTTATGTTTCTTCTTTTTTTTTTTTTTTTATATATACCTTATCATCAACAACGTGGAAGTAATAACGCTTTTCCCCACTGCTTAGAGTGTGTGTGCTGTGCATGACTGTAAAAGGGACGGTTCACCTCCCCCCTCCCACCCCCATTTCTCAGCACTTCCGTCACTCCCCAGATGCTATTTTCCTCCATTTTTTTTTCATTTGTTTCTTCATGTATCATCGCTTTCTTTATATCTTTCTATTTACTAAACGTATCATGTTTGTTCTCAGCACTGTAAGACAGCCCCCCTCCCCCTTCTACAACATTGAAAAGCAATATCACTGTATGAAACGTTCACAATGTATTTGTTATGATTGACATTTTGATTCATTCATCATCATTATTATTATTCACATGCACCCTAGGTGTGATAATTGAAGTAAATCTCTTTTATACAAATACTATAAGTGTGCTGTGGAGGTTTGTTGTTCAAGTATTCTCAGAGAAAAAGAAAAATGAGGTTACTTTTCAAGATGTTAGACTGTTTATGTCAATGACAGCCCTCCCGCAGGTGAGTGCCTTCCGAATAAGACAAGTTACAAATCCAGATGGTTGATGTGGAAAAAATTACCTTTTCTAATCCTCCCCAGGTCGCTATGCGGAGCTTCAGGGGGAGTTTTCTGCAGCAGTGCGGATCAGCGCCGAGCAGAAGGAGCTCATCCTGAGGCTGGAGCATGACCTGAGTACCATCCAGGCCATGTCCTCCCTTCCCCGACCCGGTGCCGAGGGCGCCGAAGTCATCAACATCCCCGAGCCCATCAAAGAGGCCACCGCTATGTTTGCCGGTACGTTTGTATGCGCGGTTGCTCCTCACTCACGATCATCACGATCTGAAGAGCAGTGACACCCCAACCACTTGATCCGGTTTGCATCTTCTAAATGACAATGAGGGCCAGCTAACGTTCTGATGCAGTTGTCAGTGATGAATCATAAACCATTAGCAGTGACACATTTAACTCATTCACTCCCAAAGACGTTTTTAAACGTCTTTTCAAACTTGGTCCAGAATTGGCTGGTACTGAATGAGTAAATTGCCGCGTAATAAACTCTGAAGTGGCTTCATTTTGAAGCAGCAGCATCGGCCAGACGGTATATTTGAAATCTCCATCGTCCAAAAGTCAGAAAAATGAAGGTTGTACTACCTGCTTTCTACAGTACCAAGGGAGTCAATGTTTATTTATGGAAACGATTTCTAAAAAAGGCTTCACTTTGTCTAAAGGTTCTGCTGCATGTGTTTTTAAAGACTTCTCTTGTTTTTGTTAGATTCCGGAATGAGCGTCCATGCCGAGCTGCCTCAAGGTCAGATGGACTCTCTGCTCTCCATCATCTCCAGCCAAAGGGAGAGGTTCCGCTCCCGCAACCAGGAACTGGAAGCCGTGAGTCCCCGTCTCACACTCACACGCACACTCACACATGCCTCACACACTACCTGTGACCTCTGACCGCTCGTTCCAGGAGAGCCGCTCCATGCAGCAGACCATGCAGGCCCTGCAGAACGAGCTGGACAGCCTGCGCGCAGACAACATTAAACTCTATGAGAAGATCAAGTTCCTACAGAGCTACGCTGGCAGAGTATGGCTCTCTTTG